TGAATCCCCGTCCTTCAGGAGTCTCTCTGTGAGGAGGTTCCTGGTTTGAATCCCCGTCCGACGGGAGTCTCTCTGTGAGGAGGTTCCTGGTTTGAATCCCCGTCCTTCAGGAGTCTCTCTGTGTGGAGGTTCCTGGTTTGAATCCCCGTCCTTCAGGAGTCTCTCTGTGTGGAGGTTCCTGGTTTGAATCCCCGTCCTTCAGGAGTCTCTCTGTGAGGAGGTTCCTGGTTTGAATCCCCGTCCTTCAGGAGTCTCTCTGTGAGGAGGTTCCTGGTTTGAATCCCCGTCCTTCAGGAGTCTCTCTGTGAGGAGGTTCCTGGTTTGAATCCCGTCCTTCAGGAGTCTCTCTGTGTGGAGGTTCCTGGTTTGAATCCCCGTCCTTCAGGAGTCTCTCTGTGTGGAGGTTCCTGGTTTGAATCCCCGTCCTTCAGGAGTCTCTCTGTGTGGAGGTTCCTGGTTTGAATCCCGTCCTTCAGGAGTCTCTTTGTGAGGAGGTTCCTGGTTTGAATCCCCGTCCTTCAGGAGTCTCTCTGTGAGGAGGTTCCTGGTTTGAATCCCCGTCCTTCAGGAGTCTCTCTGTGTGGAGGTTCCTGGTTTGAATCCCCGTCCTTCAGGAGTCTCTCTGTGAGGAGGTTCCTGGTTTGAATCCCCGTCCGACGGAGTCTCTCTGTGAGGAGGTTCCTGGTTTGAATCCCCGTCCTTCAGGAGTCTCTCTGTGAGGAGGTTCCTGGTTTGAATCCCCGTCCGACGGGAGTCTCTCTGTGAGGAGGTTCCTGGTTTGAATCCCCGTCCTTCAGGAGTCTCTCTGTGAGGAGGTTCCTGGTTTGAATCCCCGTCCTTCAGGAGCCTCTCTGTGAGGAGGTTCCTGGTTTGAATCCCCGTCCTTCAGGAGTCTCTCTGTGAGGAGGTTCCTGGTTTGAATCCCCGTCCTTCAGGAGCCTCTCTGTGAGGAGGTTCCTGGTTTGAATCCCCGTCTGACGGAGTCTCTCTGTGTGGAGGTTCCTGGTTTGAATCCCCGTCCTTCAGGAGTCTCTCTGTGTGGAGGTTCCTGGTTTGAATCCCCGTCCTTCAGGAGTCTCTCTGTGAGGAGGTTCCTGGTTTGAATCCCCGTCCTTCAGGAGTCTCTCTGTGAGGAGGTTCCTGGTTTGAATCCCCGTCCTTCAGGAGTCTCTCTGTGAGGAGGTTCCTGGTTTGAATCCCCGTCCTTCAGGAGTCTCTCTGTGAGGAGGTTCCTGGTTTGAATCCCCGTCCTTCAGGAGTCTCTCTGTGTGGAGGTTCCTGGTTTGAATCCCCGTCCTTCAGGAGTCTCTCTGTGTGGAGGTTCCTGGTTTGAATCCCCGTCCTTCAGGAGTCTCTCTGTGAGGAGGTTCCTGGTTTGAATCCCCGTCCTTCAGGAGTCTCTCTGTGTGGAGGTTCCTGGTTTGAATCCCCGTCCTTCAGGAGTCTCTCTGTGAGGAGGTTCCTGGTTTGAATCCCCGTCCGACGGGAGTCTCTTTGTGAGGAGGTTCCTGGTTTGAATCCCCGTCCTTCAGGAGTCTCTCTGTGAGGAGGTTCCTGGTTTGAATCCCCGTCCGACGGGAGTCTCTCTGTGAGGAGGTTCCTGGTTTGAATCCCCGTCCTTCAGGAGTCTCTCTGTGTGGAGGTTCCTGGTTTGAATCCCCGTCCTTCAGGAGTCTCTCTGTGTGGAGGTTCCTGGTTTGAATCCCCGTCCTTCAGGAGTCTCTCTGTGAGGAGGTTCCTGGTTTGAATCCCCGTCCTTCAGGAGTCTCTCTGTGTGGAGGTTCCTGGTTTGAATCCCCGTCCTTCAGGAGTCTCTCTGTGTGGAGGTTCCTGGTTTGAATCCCCGTCCTTCAGGAGTCTCTCTGTGAGGAGGTTCCTGGTTTGAATCCCCGTCCTTCAGGAGTCTCTCTGTGTGGAGGTTCCTGGTTTGAATCCCCGTCCTTCAGGAGTCTCTCTGTGAGGAGGTTCCTGGTTTGAATCCCCGTCCGACGGGAGTCTCTCTGTGTGGAGGTTCCTGGTTTGAATCCCCGTCCTTCAGGAGTCTCTCTGTGTGGAGGTTCCTGGTTTGAATCCCCGTCCTTCAGGAGTCTCTCTGTGAGGAGGTTCCTGGTTTGAATCCCCGTCCTTCAGGAGCCTCTCTGTGAGGAGGTTCCTGGTTTGAATCCCCGTCCTTCAGGAGTCTCTCTGTGAGGAGGTTCCTGGTTTGAATCCCCGTCCTTCAGGAGTCTCTCTGTGAGGAGGTTCCTGGTTTGAATCCCCGTCCGACGGGAGTCTCTCTGTGAGGAGGTTCCTGGTTTGAATCCCCGTCCTTCAGGAGTCTCTCTGTGTGGAGGTTCCTGGTTTGAATCCCCGTCCTTCAGGAGTCTCTCTGTGAGGAGGTTCCTGGTTTGAATCCCCGTCCTTCAGGAGTCTCTTTGTGAGGAGGTTCCTGGTTTGAATCCCCGTCCTTCAGGAGTCTCTCTGTGAGGAGGTTCCTGGTTTGAATCCCCGTCCTTCAGGAGTCTCTCTGTGTGGAGGTTCCTGGTTTGAATCCCCGTCCTTCAGGAGTCTCTCTGTGAGGAGTCTGCATGTTCTCCTCGTTCATGTGTGGGTTCTCTCCTGGTTCTCCGTCTTCCTCCCACAGTCCAAAGACATGCTCGTTAGGTTAACTGCTGACTCTCTGAATGTGAGTGTGTCTGGTTGTCTGTCTCTACATGTCAGCTCTGTGAACGGGTAAAACTTTAAAGAAAATGGATGGCTGAAATGCAGTTCATAGGTAAAAAGTCTCAGACCAGGGTTTTATGTTTATTTTTTTCCAGCCTTTAAAAAAAAACTTTATTGTTTCTGTATTGAACACATTTCATCACTTTCCTTCCAATAAGACAAATATATTTAAGATTTAAAAACTTTTACAGTTGTGAGATATCTGACTCTCTGCAGCAGCTAACATGCTAATCGTTAGCCATGTCAACAAACTGCATTATTTACTCGATGCATTAACAAACGTCTTTTACAATCAGCTCAACAGTAAAACTTTACAAACATTTCTTAATGTTTATTTTCTGAGTTTTTTAGTTGTTAAGATTTTGTGCATCCAGTGAGGAAGTGGAAAAATCCCATCGTCCAACATTTGGTGAGTAAAACGACTGAGCGCCACATTCACCTCCCAGACAGCAGGGGGCAGTCTGACCATCGATCAGTTAATTATTACCTTGTTTATCATCAGTTTAAGTCTTAAAGGCCACACCTTCTATTTTTGAGATTAAAATCTATTAAATGAACAGTTGTAGTTCCCTCGGGGTGCCACCAGAGGGAGCACAGTGTTTACAGCCTGATGAGGCAGGTAAAGGTGAGGTGAGGTGAGAACACACCGACAACTCCACTTTGTGATGCTTTGCAAACACTTTATTACACAAATTACATAGTTACTGAAAATAGTACTCTTGCAGCAAAACCAGTGTGTCACAATAAATATCAGAGCGCCAACATGTTTCTACGGCATGCCATAAAGGACATCATTCATTCCCACGCCACGGCAGACTGAGAGCACGGACTGAAAGGAGAAGCAGGAAGTGAAGAAGAGATGTGAAGAAGAAAGGTGACGCCTCAGATTGACTGTTTCTAATGATGACGCAGCATTTCTTCAGGTGTGTGTGTCTGTGTGTCTGTGTGTGTCTGTGTGTGTGTGTGTGTGTGTGTCTGTGTCTGTGTGTGTCTGTGTGTGTGTGTGTGTGTGTCTGTGTGTGTCTGTGTGTGTGTGTGTGTGTGTATGTGTGTGTGTCTGTGTGTGTGTCTGTGTCTGTGTGTGTCTGTGTGTGTGTGTCTGTGTGTATGTGTGTATGTGTGTGTGTCTCTGTGTGTGTCTGTGTGTGTGTGTGTGTGTGTGTGTGTGTGTGTGTGTGTCTGTCTGTCTGTGTGTGTGTCTGTGTGTGTGTGTGTGTGTGTGTGTGTCTGTGTGTGTGTGTGTGTGTGTGTGTGTCTGTGTGTGTGTCTGTGTGTGTGTGTGTGTCCCTGTGTGTGTGTGTGTCTGTGTGTGTGTCTGTGTGTGTGTGTGTGTGTGTGTGTCTGTGTGTGTGTGTGTGTGTGTGTGTGTGTCTGTGTGTGTGTGTGTGTCTGTGTGTCTGTGTGTGTCTGTGTGTGTGTGTGTGTGTGTGTGTCCCTGTGTGTGTGTGTCTGTGTGTGTGTGTGTGTGTCTGTGTGTGTGTGTCGTCCTGAGAGTTGAACACTCTTTATGGTGATTAGTTTAAATTAAACATTACAGACGGATTAATCAGCTGTTAAACTTTATTCATAGTGTATATGAGAAGTGGGCGTGGCCTCTGTGACATCACACATCAGTTTGTAAAATAATGAAATAAATCCATGAAGACGATAAATCATGGAAGACCAGCGTGGTTAGAAACTGAAACGTTATCACCTCGTTGTTGTTGTTGTTGTTGTTGTAGTTGTTGTTGTTGTTGTTGACTTTGATTTGAAATCTCTGCTGACATCGTGAAGTCGAGCTTCTTGATCAAACGGACGGATTCATGAATTCAACTCTCTGCTGCTTTCAGTCCTCAAAGAAATAAAAAACTTAAAGTGCTTAAAATGACTTCCTGTTTGAGTCCGCACGATAAAGGTCTCCTCTCTCTCTCTCTCTCTGTCTGTCTCTGTCTCTCTCTCCCTCTCTCTCTCTCTCTCTGTCTGTCTCTGTCTCTCTCTCCTCTCTCTCTCTCTCTGTCTGTCTCTGTCTCTCTCTCCTCTCTCTCTCTGTCTCTCTCTCTCTGTCTGTCTCTGTCTCTCTCTCTCTCTCTCTCTGTCTCTCTCTCTCTCTCTCTCTGTCTCTCTCTCTCTCTGTCTGTCTCTGTCTCTGTCTCTCTCTCCTCTCTCTCTCTGTCTCTCTCTCTCTCTGTCTCTCTCTCTGTCTCCTCTCTCTCTCTCTCTCTCCCTCTCTCTGTCTCTCTCTGTCTCCTATCTCTCTGTCTCTCTCTCTCTCTCTCTCTCTGTCTCTCTCTCTCTCCCTCTCTCTCTGTCTCTCTCTCTCCCTGTCTTTCTCTCTCTCTCTCTCCCTCTCTCCCTCGCTTGCTCACATAAATATACATATATATGTTATAATAATATCCACTCTGAGTGTAGTAATATGGACGCTCTGGTAGCAGCTGAGTCTCCCTGTGCTATGTTCAGTGATGGCAGCTGATCAAAAGGCGAAAATAAGATCAAAAAGGCACAACGACCCGTGAAGATGGACGGACGTGAAATGATCGAGGACGTGAAGCAGAGTGTGAAGATTTAGTGCAGAAAGAGATCAACTGTAAATACTGATGTATCATTAATATTCACTCTAAGAGTTCAGGAAGAGATCCTGACTCCACACGTCAGGGCTCTGATCCATGCAGTGACCACAGTGACCAGCAGGGGGCAGCTCTCTACAATGTTTAGAATTTAGACTGCAGTACTCATTTTAACCACTAGGGAACAGAGTTACACACTGCTCCTTTAAAGCTGTAATACAATCATTAAGATAACAGATTGTTTCATTTTAAAAACATGTGGTATTAAAACAGCATGTAACAGTTTGATCCAATCACAGCTGCTGGGTAACATCAGAGACTGATTGATGATTGGTTCACCTTGTGTAAACTCGTCCTGCAGGTCAGTAAGGTCACCATGACGTGTTGGAGCGCTGTCAGTCAGAGGTGTGGATCTGCCTCACGTCCTCAGAATGTGATAAATGTTCAAATGGAATGTGACGATCAGATTCAATCAGAGTCTGAAGACCTTTAAATGAAAGGCGAGATTGGCAGCTAACACAACAGTAAGACATGAAGATGTACGTACATGTTGGCCTGTAAGCGGGGGAGGGGAGCTGCGGGGAGGGGGGTCTAAGAGGAGGACTTTGGGGGAGGCAGGGCAGAGTACTCCTCGTTCTCTGAATCACTGCTGTCCTCCATTCTCTCCTGATCGCTGCCCTCGGTGCTCAGCTGATCGAAGCCCTGACGGCTATAACCCTGACGGGACGCAAAGAAGTTCCCCAGGTTCAGACCGCCCACCGCTTTACCTGGGGGGGGATAGAGAGAGAGATAGAGAGAGAGAGAGAGGGGGGGGGAGTTACAGGTTAAACTACATCAAAAAGTAAAATGACCTTGGTGGACCACGTGGTGACCATCCATCAGGTGGTGGTGACCATCCATCAGGTGGTGGTGACCATCCATCAGGTGGTGGTGACCATCCATCAGGTGGTGACCATCCATCAGGTGGTGGTGACCATCCATCAGGTGGTGATCATCCATCAGGTGGTAACCATCCATCAGGTGGTGGTGACCATCCATCAGGTGGTGATCATCCATCAGGTGGTGACCATCCATCAGGTGGTGATCGTCTATCAGGTGGTGATCATCCATCAGGTGGTGGTGACCATCCATCAGGTGGTGATGACCATCCATCAGGTGGTGATCATCCATCAGGTGGTGACCATCCATCAGGTGGTGACCATCCATCAGGTGGTGACCGTCCATCAGGTGGTGATCATCCATCAGGTGGTGATCATCCATCAGGTGGTGACCATCCATCAGGTGGTGATCATCCATCAGGTGGTGATCATCCATCAGGTGGTGACCATCCATCAGGTGGTGATCATCCATCAGGTGGTGATCATCCATCAGGTGGTGACCGTCCATCAGGTGGTGATCATCCATCAGGTGTTGGTGACCATCCATCAGGTGGTGATCATCCATCAGGTGGTGATCATCCATCAGGTGGTGGTCATCCATCAGGTGGTGACCGTCCATCAGGTGGTGATCATCCATCAGGTGGTGGTGACCATCCATCAGGTGGTGATCATCCATCAGGTGGTGATCATCCATCAGGTGGTGGTGACCATCCATCAGGTGGTGATCATCCATCAGGTGGTGATGACCATCCATCAGGTGGTGATCATCCATCAGGTGGTGGTGACCGTCCATCAGGTGGTGATCGTCTATCAGGTGGTGATCATCCATCAGGTGGTGGTGACCATCCATCAGGTGGTGACCATCCATCAGGTGGTGGTGACCGTCCATCAGGTGGTGATCGTCTATCAGGTGGTGATCATCCATCAGGTGGTGATCATCCATCAGGTGGTGACCATCCATCAGGTGGTGACCGTCCATCAGGTGGTGATCGTCTATCAGGTGGTGACCGTCCATCAGGTGGTGATCGTCTATCAGGTGGTGATCGTCTATCAGGTGGTGACCATCCATCAGGTGGTGATCGTCTATCAGGTGGTGATCGTCTATCTGGTGGTGACCGTCCATCAGGTGGTGACCGTCCATCTGGTGGTGACCGTCCATCAGGTGGTGGTGACCGTCCATCAGGTGGTGGTGACCGTCCATCAGGTGGTGGTGACCATCCATCAGGTGGATCAGTGTGACCTCACTCTGGTTGAGCTTGGTAAAGGATTCAGCCGTAGCATGAGCTGACATTTAAACGGGCATATGGCGCCGGTCTTCATAGTGGTGATATTTATCTGCAGTTTTTAAACACACTTCATGTTTTCTCCTCGAGCTGCATTCAGGGAACGTTTGGAAACCAGAACACTTAACTCACCTCTGATTTTTCCCAGGATTCCGCCCACAGAGCCGGGGTCAGACTTCACCTCACACCGGTCTGCAGACACACATGACATCACATTATATAATAAATACATAATCCTCTCAACCAATCACACGCCTGCTTTAAACACGTACTGTTCTTCCTCCAGCAGATGAAGAGTCCCACAGAGATGACAAGCAGCAGAGGGACGAGCAGCAGCGTGGTGATGACAGCGGGGAGGACTCCCTGCCCTTTGATTGGCTGAGCTTCACTCTTCTTCTTCTTCTCCTCTTCCTCGCTCTTCAGCTGAACACGAGGCTGTGGAGACGACTCGCTCTGTTTGTGATGGACGACTGCTGACCTCGACACGTTCTGCTGAGGTTCTCTGAGTCTGGTCTGAACGATCGTCTCCATCGCTACACACACACACACACACACACACACACACACACACACACAACACACCACACACACACACACACACACACACACACACACACACACACACACACACACACACACACACACACACACATTGTAATCGTCTCCTTGCCATTTTAAATAAAAGTTAATCATCATGATGATGTTTTGCTCCATTGTTCCCTTCACTCTGACTCACAGAGAAACTCAAACTACAGATTTATTTCAGGAGCCTTCTCTCATCGGGGCCCCGCTCTATAATACAATCAATCAAGCCTTTTGGCTCCATGTGACAGTATGAGGTTACAGACACAGCCTGTGAGGGTTTCAAACTAACCTTCGATCTGTTGAACCTGGATCCCCGCCTTCTTCACAGAGCGATGAAACTCTGAAGAAGAGACACAGGAAGAAGACATTCAAACACCAGAGAGGACAGAGACTAACACCAGAGAGGACAGAGACTAACACCAGAGATTAACACCAGAGACTAACACCAGAGAGGACAGAGACTAACACCAGAGAGGACAGAGCCGTAACACCAGAGAGGACAGAGACTACCACCAGAGAGGACAGAGAGACTAACACCAGAGACTAACACCAGAGAGGACAGAGAGACTAACACCAGAGACTAACTCCAGAGAGGACATAGACTAACACCAGAGAGGACAGAGACTAACACCAGAGAGGACATAGACTAACACCAGAGAGGAGATAGACTAACACCAGAGAGGACAGAGACTAACACCAGAGAGGACAGAGAGACTAACACCAGAGACTAACACCAGAGAGGACAGAGAGACTAACACCAGAGACTAACTCCAGAGAGGACATAGACTAACACCAGAGAGGACAGAGACTAACACCAGAGAGGACATAGACTAACACCAGAGAGGAGATAGACTAACACCAGAGAGGACAGAGACTAACACCAGAGAGACAGAGAGACTAACACCAGAGACTAACACCAGAGAGGACAGAGAGACTAACACCAGAGACTAACTCCAGAGAGGACATAGACTAACACCAGAGAGGACAGAGACTAACACCAGAGAGGACATAGACTAACACCAGAGAGGAGATAGACTAACACCAGAGAGGACAGAGACTAACAAAAGAGACTAACACCAGAGAGGACAGAGAGACTAACACCAGAGACTAACTCCAGAGAGGACATAGACTAACACCAGAGAGGACAGAGAGACTAACACCAGAGACTAACACCAGAGAGGACATAGACTAACACCAGAGAGGACATAGACTAACACCAGAGAGGACAGAGAGACTAACACCAGAGACTAACTCCAGAGAGGACATAGACTAACACCAGAGAGGACAGAGACTAACACCAGAGAGGACATAGACTAACACCAGAGAGGACAGAGAGACTAACACCAGAGACTAACTCCAGAGAGGACATAGACTAACACCAGAGAGGACAGAGACTAACACCAGAGAGGACATAGACTAACACCAGAGACTAACACCAGAGAGGACAGAGAGACTAACACCAGAGACTAACACCAGAGAGGACATAGACTAACACCAGAGAGGACATAGACTAACACCAGAGACTAACACCAGAGAGGACAGAGAGACTAACACCAGAGACTAACACCAGAGAGGACATAGACTAACACCAGAGAGGACACAGACTAACACCAGAGAGGACATAGACTAACACCAGAGAGGACAGAGACTAACACCAGAGAGGACATAGACTAACACCAGAGAGGACAGAGACTAACAAAAGAGACTTAACACCAGAGAGGACAGAGACTAACTTCAGAGAGGACAGAGACTAACACCAGAGAGGACAGAGATTAACACCAGAGAGGACAGATACTAACACCAGAGAGGACATAGACTAAGACCAGAGAGGAAAGAGACTAACAAAAGAGACTTAACACCAGAGAGGACAGAGACTAACTTCAGAGAGGACAGAGACTACCACCAGAGAGGACAGAGACTAACACCAGAGAGGACAGAGACTACCACCAGAGAGGACATAGACTAACACCAGAGACTAACACCAGAGAGGACAGAGAGACTAACACCAGAGACTAACACCAGAGAGGACATAGACTAACACCAGAGAGGACAGAGACTAACAAAAG